TTCAAGACACACATGACTTCCATTTTTGGTAGGAAAATAGTTTTCATAATGTTTGGGCAATGTAGGTTTCCTTATTGGCTGAATTGTGGAAATACAGTTAATGTATTCATATATTTTTAAAAGCTTACAATGTCATTGCATTTTTTTTTTGCGATAAAATGGTAGCTTGAGAGAGTTGTCTTTTTGGAATTAATGACCATTCATTATTTTATTTTATTTTTAACCAAGATAAAATTTGATTAAACTGAAGGAAATTTGGAGTCACTTAAATTTTTCAGAGAGATACTCACTCCTATTTGGTCCAAGAAAATGAATAATAGAATCACTATGTTGCTTCTCCATCTAGGGGATAGTCAGAGGTGGTAATAATTTCTATAAATCTCTGATGAGTGTGATGTGTGGTTATACAGATTCAAAGACCTTTCTGTCTGTGGTCACAAAAACTACTGATGTGATGCAGAAAGAATGCATCCCATCCCTTAATCTCCTCTCCTCTCCTCTCCTCTCCTCTCCTCTCCTCTCCTCTCCTCTCCTCTCCTCTNNNCTCTCCTCTCCTCTCCTCTCCTCTCCTCTCCTCTCCTCTCCTCTTCCCTTTTCTTCTTCCTTCAGAAAAATATAGGCTTCCTGGAGGTTCTTTCATCCTGAAATAAAAATATAAAACCAGATTTGGACTGGACATTTTCTCCTAGTTTGGAAGCTTAAGCTCAATTTTGCTTAATACACCACTTCAGTGTAAAGAAAAGCTGATGTGAATATTGCAGATGAACTAAAAATTAAATTTTATTTTCTCATTTAACATCTAATTGGTGCTAAACCTTCTTACCCTTCTTGCTACCTCCATCTCTTCTGTCAAATACTTATCACTTCCTTGTTTTATTTAAGAATGCATACCTAGAATTGGTATAAAACAAATAAAAAATAAGTCTCTTCCAACTTCCAGTAATCTGTGGCACAGAGATTTCTTAAGTCAAATGTGATCTATTTGGGTTTAATATCTTGCTGTATTTTTTTCTTCCTCAGACTTAACCTACAGCTTTCTAACACATGCCAGCTTCTAAAGTATTCACAAGCTCAGGTTTGTCTGCATGCTGTGAAAAAATAGCCTCTTTTATTCTGTTCTGAACCTTCCACAGAGTAGTTTCATTTGATGCCATCTTATATTAGAAGAGAAGAATGAATAATCATTCTTCATTCATCTCATTTCTACTCATGATTTTGAAGACTTGTATCTTGCTCTACACGCTGAGCAGACCTAATATATTTAACTGTTTCTAGCACAGAATATATTCTATACTTCAAATCATCTTTCTTGCCTTTTTTCTATTTTTTTTTCAGTGTTGTTATAACTCTTTTTGAAATGGGAAGAATAGAGCTGCAAATTATATTTGTTGTAGTGTTTCTCATGGTTAATAAAGAACATAATTTATACTGATGCTCTGTCCTCCCTTCCTGGTAATTTCTAACACTTAATATACTTTTCAAAACTTGTTGGGGTTATAAAAATACTGTTAAAACATTAAATAGATAAGTTTTGAAAAGTTTTGAAAAATCTTTTTTTTTATTTTCAGAATTTTGTCAGTTCAGAAGCCATACATTTAGGAGTATATTGAACAGTAAGGCCTCACCCAACAAGGATCCTTGTAGGATTCAAGCTAATTTTAATAATTTGTAGTTCCTTATATTTTAACTAGAACCATTGTTTAAAAGTTCATATCATGTATCACACCCTCTTCGTGCTGTGGTCTTGTTGCTATGCTAAGTGATAAGATTTATCACGATTATATTTCAGTTGTGACTTCCTCTAGGAACCTTTGATGGAATGTTATCTCATTCTGAAAATTTGTTTATGTCTATTTTGATGGTCTATTATCTTAACCTCTTGATCTCTAGATGTGTTCCTTGGTGCGTTCTTAACGACAAGGCTTGTGATATAGAAATTTTTCTTTTTTTTTTTAATTTCCCGGTGCACTTCCTGTAAACCTCCAGGGCGGTAGAGGCAAATGTTTTACAGTTTGCCTTGCAGTTCAGTCCTTCTGGCTTTTAGGCGCTGGCTCTTAATTTCTTATGGACCTGCTTAGATTAACTCGTTGATAGTAAGTTGGAGCTTTAGCTCTTAGCACAGAGCTGAAGAATAAATTACGAGCTTCATGAAATCTTGTGACATCACTGTTCTTTGAAATAAAGCATTTCAGGTGCAACTAATTTGACTCTCCTATTAGTACATCATAGTACAGGGTATTACTAAATGTCTACCACTACTACCCTCTCATTTACTCCCATATTGTCTTCTCTGCTGGGGATAGATGCAGACTTGTTTTAACTACAAAGCTAGGATTCTTCCTATAATGGCATTAGCTACCACTGCCATCTTGGATTTTTTTTCTTTTTCCTATATTGACCTGAATACATACTTTCTGTCAAACATTGACTCGGAATGAAAAAAAATATGGAGTGGGAATTTTTTTTAGAGTTTTAGTTACCCATGACAGAGTGCTAATATGCTTTTCTAATGTGCTAATGTGCTGCACTGCCACAGATTATCTGTGAAATAGGGTTTAGTTAGCACTGACAGCTCTAAAAAGCACTGATTTTCTTTCTGTCCTCAGATTGAACTTATTATCTGCGTGTTTAACTCGATTGAGAAAATGTTTATGACTTACATTGTTATAGTGAAGAAAAATGTATTAGAACACCTCATTCATGTTAATATTGTACATGTTACTCTTTAAAATTATTGAATGAGCAGCTGTAGAATTTGGAATGTTAAGAAATGATATAATGTATATATGAAACATTTAGCTTTTGGTTATGATTATGTCTGTGTTTCTCAGGATAATTTTAATTCAGCAATTTTAAGGTGATATAAAGCACACATCAAAAATAGTTTTTTAGGAAGAATTACTACTGAGTAGTCTAAAGGAATCTACAAATAAGAATAACTCTAGTGTGATTTTTGTCAAAATAAATCTTTTATTTTTTCTTAGAAACATATCTTTCCCCCTCTTCAAACCAGAAACAGTTTTGTAGTGAGAAAAGTTGGTATCAGTGAATGAAAAATGGGAGCAGCAATGCACTTAAGACCTTTGGCTTACAAAACATTAGTTTAGCTAATGGGGAAACATAGGTTAAGTAGTCAGGGTGGTGAAAGATTTATTGAACTCACTGTCTGGAAAGATTAATTGAATACATTCAGGAGGCCTGCTAGTTTTTGAATTAATTTGAGTGAAAAGGCTTCACCCTCATGTATCCATGACAATATCACCATATTAAAAAAACAAACAAACAAAAAAAGAAGAATCTAAAGATTCTTCCTCTTTTCCATGAGTCTGGGAAAGGACATCCGCTAATATGATCCAAAAGCCATTCCTGTGAGCCTTTATATGAAGAAATACTGTATCTGAGGTAAAGATGCTGCTTAACTAAATTGGGAACCCAGAAGATTAAATTTTGCTGGCCTAAAAAAGGCTGAGGAAAGACTGTTTTCCATTCCCTCCCTGCCACTCTGAAAGATTTGTGTTATAGCATCATGTGTGATGCTGTCTACAGGGGCTCGGTAACTAAGGCTCTGCTCTTCTAATGGAAGGATCACAAATGGAAGGATCCCAAATGGAAAATCATTGCCCCTCTTTTCCTCTGAGCTTCAAATACAGGAGCAGGGTGTTGGCTATGGGACATGCTGTAAACAGCAGACTTCTAATGCATAAAGCTAACTTCTTTGTCTCTTTCTCTACAAAAAAAAGTGAAAGGGACAAAGCAATCGTGGCCTGACTTCTACATGTGTAAGTGTATAAGCTGCCAAGTGCTTTCTGCTGCCTTGCTTCTGACAGGGTTAATGAACTGCAGGGTACTGGGGGGAGTGGGATGGTCAGTGCTGGGGCTGCCCACACAGAGTGCCTGGCAGGCTCTGTTCTGCACGATGGCCATGAGATTGCAATTTGAGTTGGAGATGAACTAGTCCCATCGTAAGCTGCCTTTTCCTCTTGGCTCAGTTTCTCATGTGCATTCCTTGTCCCACACCCCCACTTGATGATTGATCTAAGTTTTTAACTCAGCCTCAGAATGCCTATGCCTCCTCCACTCAGAGCTAGCCTTAATCTTCCTTTTATGGTTGGAGTCCACGTGGACTTTATCATTATATTTTTCTTGTAACCTTTCCACAAAGAGAGATTTTGTTCTACTGTAAGGTCTTACATTGTTATTCTAATTACTGCAGCTGATTTGATAATATCCAAGGTTCAGGGTCATACACCGCTAAAGCTTATTGCAGAAATGTAATGGCAAAGACAATGTTTGTTCCAGTTGTTACAGCCTTTTGACAATAGGTCTCCCTCATTATATTCTGTATTTGCAATTATCTTCCCTTTTCTCTCCTTACTTCTGTTTATTTGCTTATAGGGCACTCTTTATTGCCATATAAGATCATTGTATAATGAGAAATTTTTTGAAATTACATAATTTATTACATAATTATGAAGGTTACATGCTCCTCAGTAATAGTATGATGGTTAATTAAAATAATTAGCAAACTTGAGCAAAACTTTCTTTGATAGTTTCAAAAAGCTACTTTTGTGATCCATCTGGCCTGCCCAGAACATTAAGTTATCATTGATCAATCACTGAGGAAAAAGAAACTGCAGATCGTTGCATGCTAGAGGTTAGGACATAACTTTGAAATTTTGTACTGTAAAGAAATAGTTTATTTCCAGTTATTTTTGTGGAGTTAAAGTAGGAATACATTAGCACTGTTCTAGACTCAGTTGTGAATTCTGGAGATGTGAATTTTATAAAGTAGAGCAGTAATCCAAACTTCATACTTAAATATTTTTTTCACAATCACTTATATAAGTTACAATAGGTACCCTAAGGTATAGGAAGAAGGATTCTTAACAAAATAAACCAGGAGTTACATTTTTCTATCAGTGACATCTGCTGACTGGCTGAAGTCATATGCAGATGATGTATGTGTTCAAAAATTTGATTATATTCTTGTATGTCTCCAGGAATCCGTAAAGACCGCAGAGGTGGGCGAATGATGAAACAAAAACGTCAAAGAGAAGAGCAGGACTCCAGGAATGGAGAGGCTTCTTCTACAGAGCTGAGAGCTCCCACCCTTTGGACAAGTCCGCTTGTGGTTAAACACAACAAGAAGAACAGTCCAGCCCTGTCCCTGACAGCGGAGCAGATGGTCAGTGCCTTGCTGGAAGCTGAGCCACCCATTGTATATTCTGAATATGACCCCAATAGACCTTTCAATGAAGCCTCTATGATGACCCTGTTGACCAACCTTGCAGACAGAGAATTAGTGCACATGATCAACTGGGCAAAAAGAGTTCCAGGTAAGGAAACACAGCCCCAGTGGACTGTAAGTGCCTCAGTTTGACAAATCATTTGAAAATCTGCTATCTACCATTTTCCAATCTCCACATAAGATTTTAAACGCATAAATCTGATGTTACGTTGGTTAGTAGAATATGGCAACAATGTGACTTTTAAAAGGAAGATTTGCTCTTGCTCAGATGTTTGTGATTGATACCATAAAATCATCTCAATTGAAATGAAAAACTGTTCAATAATTAGCTTAAATTTACCATTTTTAAAGTTCTTTTTATTTTCTTTGCTCTATTAATTTTTACGCAGATTGGTTCTGTCTAATGACAGAGTTGTCTGAATGCTAATGCTATCCTTAGAGCAAGATTCCTCTTTGGGAAGGATCCTGTGCTTAAATCAATTTTATTATCTTACATATAAGTTGCTTTAAGTAAAGTCTGTGAGCTAGCTATTTTTAACTTGGATCACTTCATTGACCCTGAAACAGAAAAGTTCTCCACTTTTACAGTTAAATAGCTGGTCCGAAAGATCCAACTAAGATTTTCTTCCACAAACCTCACTTTCCCTTCATTCCTAGATTTCATAACTGCTTCAAACTGAATTATAAAGCATATGTGCTGGACTAAATGGCCCAGAAGTCATTTTTGGTCATAGAATTTGTCTGCCATGACTGAAAATCAAAGCTGGGAAAAGATTCAACAACTTATGTGAAATGGCCTAGTTATCTCTGATCTGCTGCTTATGGAATTAAATGAACCCATTGCAGTATGCTACCACAGTTGATATAGCTGGTGTCAATTTAAGCAGTATGACTGAGGCTGGAATAAAATTTAAAAAGTCTCTAAAGTTCACCAGAACTGAAAGTCGCTCATAGCCTAGTGAGGATTTATATTATCAACGCTCTTTTGTGGGCAAAAGAAGTCATTAAGTCTCCAGGGCTACTTGTCATAAATTAATGCATAAATATTTATTAAAAATATACCGTTTATCCTGTAATTTTAGCTTCCTAATAAGAACAGTATATATGGTAATTTAGATATTGTAATTCATTGGAATTCTGATCCCTTAAATAAGCATTTATGTCATGAAAATTATGTAGCTGTTTTATGAAGGGATGTGTGAGAACTCTTGCACAGCTTTCACCCTCTTACTGTTATGGGAGTGCATTGCCTCAACAGCATTTCCTAGGTTATGCCATTTTCCTGTCCTTCTTTAAAACCTGGCAAGGCTCTTGCTGGTAAATCAATAACCCATAAAATCTGAGTCTTTTCCAGTCCTCATGGTTTCACTTTTACCACTTTTCACATGTCACTTTGTGGGCCCTAGCTATAATCAACTTCTCAGTGTTTCATTTCTCATCGTATTTCATAAGAAATCGCAGGACAATTTTATCCTTGACAAAGTTGCAGTGGTATGAATGTATGAAAAGAATGAAGGCTTGATCCAGAATCTGTTCAAGAGTACTTTTTTTCTGTTAATTTATATATACTTTGGATCATGCATTCACAATACTCTTTAAAAATGAGTATGTATCTATAGTGATTAAATCTATTTGTAATCAAAAGAGGTAAATTCAAATGACTTCTCTACTGATTTTATACTTACTTAATCTAATTCTCTTAGAAGTCTGTTAATTTACACCCAACATGAATATTCTACATTCTTAGTTCATTATGCTGCTTAAATCTGTTCCATCTAGGAACATTTGTCTCCTATGACATTTGATTTGGATAGTTAATGTAATTAATCAAAATGTGTTTGCATACATAGTGACTATGTTAGGGAACTATTCTCTATTTTTAGTTCAGCTACTTGTGAAATATCCGTAAAACCACCTGTCATGGGATGATAACATCTGGTAAAAAAAAAAAAAAAAAAAAAAAAAAAAAAGCTTGGTTTACTAAACATACCTTTATTTCCTAAACAATCTTCTTAAATTTCATAAACAAATGTGTAAGTTTATCACATATTTTTGTGTATTCTGTCTACTTTACTTTTAAATAAATGTCCTATTAAGTGCCAAATACTTCTTAAGAAGAAATTGAGAAAAAATACCTCTGTACATACATGAGTAAATATTCTAACAGGTGAAGTTTGGAATAAAACAGGTCAAAAAAATCCTTTCCCAGATGCAATTTGATCTGTTAGACTCTGTAGGAAAAAACATGCAAATTAAAGTCCTAAAATGACAAAGACAGAAATCTGAATAGTTTGGCGATTATGAGAATTTGTGTTAGCTCAATACCCATCTGGTGAGGATCATGGCTTGGATTATAGCAGTTCTTTAGCACTATAAAATCTTAGAAAAAAAATCTTAAATTTCTAAAATTTTAGAAACATTGATTACCTTTTAAAGGCACAGCCTTTATTTAGACTGTTTGCCTAAGTTTCCTTTTGCAGGAAAGTACTAGAAATAACTGTAATCTAAGAGAAATGTGGTGGGTAATCACAGAAGCAAAGAATGGTTGAGGTTGGAAGGGACCTTTGAATATCATCTAGTCCAACCCCCCTGCACAAGCAGGGTCACCTAGATCATCCACCCTTTCTCTTACTATCTTAATGAAGATGCAAGCAATGGTGGTGATGTCTCTGAGGGATTATGCCCTCTGTGTATAAACCTGTGGGCTGGCACACCCAACTCACTGCTAGCAATAACATTCAAAATAAGCATCAAAATCAAATATCATTAGGACTAAACTCAGAAGACAGCCTCTGCCTCACTGTGGTACAAAGGATTCTCAGTATATGAACACTTTTGAGTGTGAACAAGGACTAACAGAGTTGGGATTAAGTTTCCTAAAAAATATAAATAGGAGAATTTGATATATATATATATATATCATATTTTCACTTCTTCAGTGTGTTGCTTTTGAATAATAATATATTGCTAACAGCTATGTAATACTGCTTTTTACCGAGTATTTTACCTACTTTATGCATAAGCAAATAGAAATTGAAAAACTGCTCTTTCTGATATGTGAAGAATTTTCTAAAACATACTGGGATTCCACTCAATCATTTCCCTGATATTTTACTAAGGTTTAAAGCTTCAGAGTCTAGCATAAAAATATCTTTTTTTCTAAAAACCAATTATGCTTTTTACCAGCAAAAAGCCAGTTAAAGGAAACAACCTTACCTGCCTGCACTTCTCAGAATATTGCAAATTCACTTACATAAAGGCAGGCACTTAGCTAAGGGCAAGGAAGAAATAGGTGGCTGGACTGAAAATAGTTTGAGAAGTTGACATTAAAGGAATAGAAATGCAATGAAGATGCAGCTTACAAGTATGGACTTCCAGAGATTTATCAGAGGTTATCTTGCTGTAAGTAGCATGTTAAAGCATTTAGTAAAGTCCTTGTATAGGCCAGCCAGTATTTCTGCTGAAGGAAGAAAAACCAGCTAGCTAGAAGGTGGACTGGCTTAGAAGGAAATCTATTTTACAAAAAGGAATAGTGAAAATAAATTTGTGATGGACTGCCTAATATAATAGAGACAGAGTTTGGTAGTATTGGTACTAGAGCCATGAGGAAGACAGTCTTTAAGTGGAGATGAGTTCTCTGCAGGCATGCCCTGATTGGGATGTCATGACAGCTTATCTAGATTCTGGCTTTTTTTTTTTTTTGTAACTTTAATTTGAACTTTTGACTCCATGTTGACAGGTTTTCCTAAGATGACCCTGCAGTCTTGGTGACGTTAACAAATTACTAGGGAATTGCTAGCAGCTTCTTGCACCTAACCTTAGAGAATAATCTTCAATGTCGAAGTATAACATGATTGTTAGCTGAGGTCATAATAAAGTTGTCCCATGATAATGCAATTCATAATACGCCAAGTGCATTAAAATTTGTTTTATTTTCTTCTTTGAAATGTTGGCCACTGGTGCAAGTGGGTTTGCCAGAGGACATACACCAAAAGCCCTGGTACAGTGCCCTATGACTTATGCAAAAAAAAATCAGGACCTCTTTACATAGTCTAATGAGTATTTTGGCTTAAATCTTCCCAGATGTTCTCTTTAAAACACTAGTAATGCCTTCTGATTACCCAGCCAGCTGGAGTAGCCAGCAGCTGCACACCAGGCAGGTGCAAACAGATTGCAATGAGCTAAAGTTCAAACACATGTAAAGTGAGACTTTTACTCAATAAACAATAAAAAAGTGCAATAAAACACTAAAATCATTTTCAAATATATTATCAGAATAGATAATAAAGGTTCTGCTTGTTTATAAATCATATCATTCTGTGAAACTATGTCTCTCTCTCCTCTTCTTGGCCTATATAACAGGTTAGAGATACACTACAGCCTTCATTCTCACAGGATAGGGGTGTTAGTGCATTTTTCTCATAGACTGTTCCAATGAGCAAGAACATTCACTATTCCAAAGCAAAACGGATATGTCAAAAAAATTAACACATTGTATTCTACTATACATTTAATGTGTATATCATATAATTTCCCTACTTGGAGTATTCTGTTCAGTAACAGAACAATTTTTTTTTTTTGTAGAGAAGCTCTTGAGATTTTAAGATATATAATCAGATTATATAGGGAGTTCATGGTAAAGAGTGTAGCTTTAAGGAAATTTTGCTTGTAAGGGTGAAATCTTTGGCACTGCTTCCACAATCTTGTATAACTATTTACTATGAATACAGTAGCTGTACAGTTTAATAGCCCTAAAATGGTACGTTGGGCATACAAGCTTTGAAGTTTTGAGATGATTCACAGTACTGCACTTATTTTATGGCTTCATGAACCGAGGAGATAAACATTTTGGCACTGAATTTTTTATTTCAAAGCTACAGGAGTCGCTATTTTCTTAAGATATTGTTTTCTTATTTGACCTTCTAAACTGTTCTGTTTGTTAAATTAGGAACAATGTGTAAAGAGGACAACAATAGCCACAATTTTACACTGTGCTTTATACCTGAGCTTTGCAAAGAAAATGTGAGCTTGTTGTGGAAGGAAAGCTGTTCTATATAGGATAGGGTGTTAATAACCCTTTGAGTGCAG